GTAGTAATACACCAAGGTTTATAGAACATAAGGTTACCTCATTCCCTATGCCTCTGTAGTATCGATTATTACCCCGCAAATTGACGTCACTGGTTCGATACAGTCAGAATAAAAGATAGCCTATACACGAGCCTATACTGTGGTACAGTCTATATAAAATATTTAAACCTCGCATCGTGTTGTGTTGTTCATAGAACCAGCTACGTCACTGACCCACCTTGCCTCTCAGAGGAGGAGAATCGGTATTGGGTAACCTTATGTTCTATAGACCTTGGATTTGCACCACAGTATAGGCTATCTTTTACTCAACTCTTTACTCTGACACGATGCAGTCAGAGTCTGACTGTATCGAATCAGTGACGTCAATCTGCGGGGTAGTAATCGATACTACAGAGGCATAGGGAATTGGGTAACCTTATGTTCTATAGACCTTGGTATTTTCCCTAAATTTTTTTTTTTTGGAGAGGGGAGATCTGGGCGGCGTTTTTCAGTTGGCACAAAGGCGGCGGTACTGTAGGTAGGCACTAAGGTACAACTTAATAGTACAACCACCAAGCGATAGATGGTGCTAGTTTGAAATTAAAAAAAACAGCAAAGTAATAACAAAAAAGCATTTATGTACACTGAAAAAAAAAGTGGTATATCGAATTAATAAAAAACACTGATTCTTTATAGACATAAAAGAGGTGTAAACCCCCGTTTAAGTAATTAGTTCGGATAATTATCGTAGTAGAAGTCATGGCATTATATCTTGAAATGGTACACGGGATTCCCGTGGATCATGTTGTCGTCTTAAATGTTAATCACTACCGTTCGAAAAATGTGGGGTGGGTATAAAACTGTTGTACGATTATCTATATAAATCTTGAAACAACGACTTTTCAGAACTCTACCTTTTTTTCACTATAATATCTAAAAATATAACTTTTCTTATATTTAAGCCGAACGTGCATATACTAAACATACATTCATGTTTATTTATATGTTGAGATAATCGATTTAATTTGATATATATATATATATATATATATGTATAGTGGTTGCTGTAAAAGTAAGAGACCATGTAGGAGACTGTCGCACGTTTTCAATATAACCTCAGTTATTTTGGTAGCGACCTAGCGCGAACATCGTAAATAAAACAGTAGTCCTTCGGTGTATACAAATATTTAACCAGTTCATACATAAATTTTAAAAAAGTGGTAGGCGTACGTGCTTAGGGAGGGAGAACATTAATTGATTCCGACGATTCCGACAAACTGTACCGTTGGCTTTAATCGGTGACAACCTAATCGATAAGGTCACAATCAATTTGAGAGTCGAGTGTTTGGAATGGATATTTATAACCGGTGCTGTTCTTAACAGTTTGAGAAAAACGTGGGTGTACGCGTCGGGTGTGATGAAATTAGATATATTTAGAAAATGACATGGATAGACAGAAGAAATGGATTGCGATCGTCCTTGTTGGTGTTATAGCGACAGTTTACCTGCTGCATTCTGGCGCAAACGTAAACGGTACTACTGTACAACCAGAGAAAAGAGGTAATGTGACGTAACGTGTAATAATTTTCATTTTCATATATAAAAATGAAATGTTTTTGTTAATAACCGACATCTATTAAAATTACTTACCCAATAAATTTCCGAATACTTTTTTTTATAACGTTTGGATGGTGTTAGCCAACCATGTATTTATGTTAAGTAAATCAAACAATCTTATCATAATTGAAAAGTTTAATCGAACGTTTTTATTTGGACTTAAATCCTGCAATACTTTTTACTGTAGTGCTTGTTCCTAAAGATTTGCTGATAATATATATTTTTATTATATATTTTTTATTTTTAATCAAGTTATTTATTGACCGAATACTGTCAGATAGGTTTAAAATGTGTTAAAACGATTGATCGATTGTAGAAATCTCATAAAAAAATTGTATGAAATTGATTTTATAAGAATTCTTGAAACCGATGTTAACCTTGCAAAGCAATTAACACGTTATTTTTTAAATTAATATTTTTAATTTTTATTAAGATATGTTAGTTTATATTATTAAGATAAATAAGAACAGATGTGTCATCTAAAAATAGCACTGTGTTAAATGTAATAAGTTATTCAACAGTAACCATATTAATATCTATAATCTTAGACGAGACAGGGTATTTCTTTTCGACAAAAGGAATCATGATATAAATTTGCTTAATAACACTGATTGTGAGACCACCTGCTCTTAACACCACACGTCATAGCGATATGGTTTGTTACGTTCAACTTGCAAATAACAAAGAAACAACTACGATAATTTTTACTTTTCTAATTTGATCGATCACTGAGGAATGCAGATTTAAAAAATTCAGTGATATTTGCTAAAAAACGTTTAAACGCACCAAGTAACAACAATTCCCATCATCATTCTGATCTGAACCCGACAATTGAATAAACTACTTGTTTGGAACACCCTCCTGTATATACAGGGTGGTCCGTTTAACGTGAGACAAGCGATTATCTCGAAAGCGGTTCATTTTTATGTAAAAGTTGTTCTGTACGAAGGAAGAAACCATTTGACGATAACATTTCTTGACCTTGACCTTATTTTCAAGTTTATATGAAGGTCACGATCAATTTTTTAAATGGCACCCTATATATTTTATTGTAAAATCTGAATCTGTGGATAAAAGTAAAGTAATTCAACCTACCCGCTTCGATACATTGTCTTTAGTTCTTAATTTTTAGAATAGTATTTAAGAATGCTTAACAAAAAAAATCCAGAAGAGGTACATCAAAAAAGCTTCCGACATTTCTCCGCCTTTGTCAATTTGATAATAGAATAACACATAAAAAACACGAGTTCGTGGAACTGCTTATGTTGGCATCTTCAGAATATCGCTTTCAGAGACTTAATTGGTTGAATTGTTTTAAAATGTAACAGGTAAAACTAAATTTGCATAAAAACTGCTTGGCAACAAATTCTGAATTCATTCCATCGTTTTGCATTAAGGCAAAGTGTTTAAACTAAGTCATTAAATCATGGATACTCTAAGTGTGGCAGAAAAAGTAGAAATGATTTTTATTTATGGAAAAAGTGGCAGAAAAGTTACTGATAGTATAGCTTTGTATCGAGAACGTTTTCCTGATCGAAATACGCCTTCGAGAAGTACCTTTTACAGAGTTGTGAATGATTTCACTAACATTGGAAATGTGGAATCAAGAAAAAGAACTCGACGAGCAACTGTAACTACGGAAGAAAAGGAATTTGCGGTATTAGCTAGCGTTGAGGTAAATCCTCAAGTTAGCACTCGACGACTTGCAATTGACGCCGGAATATCGAATCCAGCATTTTAAGAATATTAAAGCGCAACAAGTATCACCCATACCACATTTCATTGCATCAACAGCTAACACCTTATGGAGGTGATTTTGAAAATCGATTAATATTTTGTCAATGGACACAAGAACGAATGCGGTTGGATGTCAATTTTTTTGGTAATGTGCTATTCTCGGATGAGTCTACTTTTACAAACAAAGGAGAAATCAAAAGACATAACATGCACTATTGGAGCGTTGAAAATCCGAGATGGTTCTGTGAAGTAGAACATCAACGACCTTGGTCGGTTAATGTTTGGTGTGGCATAATGCGTGATAAATTGATCATTCCATACTTTATTGATGGTATGCTGAATGGGGAGAAGTACCGACATTTTTTGGATAACGTCTTACCAACGTTACATGTAGATTTGAGAAGGGAAGAAAGACAAAATATGTGGCTGCAAAATGATGGGTGTCCACCACATTTTTCACATATTGCACGTGAAGCTTTAGATCGGTATCCAACGTCCAATTTCCTGGCCTGCCAGATCACCCGATTTAACACCTCTTGATTTTTTTTTGTGGGGCGTCCTTAAGGATAATGTTTATCGCGAAGTACCGATTACGTCAGAACACATGAAAGAGCGGATAAGAAATGCATGCAGAAATAGTAACCAAGAAAACCTTTCAAGATGTAAAGAAAGTTTTAGTAGAAGGGTTTACTAACTATTTGAATAAAAAAATTATTTAGATTTTGTCTACAAAAGATGTTTCGCCGTCGTACTGGCAAAACCACACGGTAATTTTTTTTTAAATTGTTTTATTTTTATCCATAGATTCAGATTTTGCAATCAAAGACATAGGGTGCCATTTAATAAATTGATCGTGACCTTCATATGACCTTGAAAATAAGGTTAAGGTCAGAAAATGTTATCGTCATATGATTCACCGTTTTCGACATAATCACTTGTCTTACGTTAAATGGACCACCCTGTACAGGTAGTAGAGTGTAATTCGTAAAATATTTTACATATCTTTATTATTTAAGAAGATACAACAACCATTTTATTTTAGATTCGTTCCTCAATCCTTGATAAATTATGAAAACAATATCTAATGTGGATACTGGAATGATAAATGTTGTAGTCATTTATTAAATACTGAAACTAGATTTTTATTTTAATCAATATGTAAGCTGTATCTAACTTCTGGATGCTAGAAAAAATTGCTATAGATACTACATACAACAACTGATACCTGGAATTATCGATTTGATATTGGAATCAACAATTTAGTTTTGGTACTAATTACTATGAAATTGTATCTGACATCTAGATACTGTAACGTATCACTATAAATACTGGTCTCAATAAAGAGATATTGGAATCATTTACTAGATACTGGAATCAAATGATAAAGTCTTATTCTAATCAATAAGCAAACTGTATCTAACTTCTGAACACTAGAACAAATCACTATCAATAGTACACGTAAGAACTATGTACTGGAATAAACCACTTCATCGTTCCCTAGATATTGGAATCAATCAGCGAATACTAGCCCAAATTACTGTGTATACTGCCTTTAACTTCTGAATTCTGCAACTAATCGTTATAAATAGTGCACCCAACAATTAGGTACTGGACTCATACACTGTATACTGGAATTAACAATTCATTTCTGTTTTTAATCATTATAGAAACAATATCTAACGTGTAGATACTGGCATTATGGAATCTGTAAGTTTTAGGTACTGGAACGAATCACTATTGATGCTGCGCGAAAACATAAAGATATTGGACTCGTTTTTCTAGATGCTGAAATCCACTGCTACATTCTACTTCTAAGTGCTGTGGAAACTGTATCTAACTTCTGGATACTAGAACAAGTCACTATGGATACTCCACACAACTGAGTATTGGAACCATTCACACCACAGTGGAATCTGAATCATTCTGAACCTAGTTATTATGGAAGCTGTGTCTGATATCTAGATATTAGAACTATTCACTATAGATACTACGCTCAACAAGCAGATATTGGACTCGTTTACTAGATACTAAAATGTACTGCTAGGTTGTTACTGTAATTAATATTGAAACTGTTTAAAATTATGTGTAAAATCTTTTGTTGAATACTGGAATCGATCAGTAGATACTGAATCTAACTACTGGATTTTAGTTCTAATCACTATGGAAACTGTACCTATCTTTTCGGTACTAGGAGTCCTCGACTGAAATCCACAAATTATTTCTTCTTACACAAGCGATAACTTCCTATAACAGCACAGAAATGAAATGGTTGTTTATTCACAAGCATTGAATCACAACGACATCGTAATTCAAAATATAATATCCATGCTATGCACCATTCAGCTATTTTTTTTACATATTTTAAAGATGTAATTTATATAAAAAAATGTAATGTTATAAGTAAAAGATCACTGCGGGTTATAATTCTGCTTTGTGACCACTTTACTGTAGCCGGCAGTGAGTATCACCTGTGCGGTGTCTCTCTCTTTACAATTCCTGCATCCTTGCATTCCTTTTGCATGATTATCAACTACCTCTTCCCATCTTTTCCGTGACTTTTAATTTAGTCTCATTCCTCGCATTTTTATGTTTGTTAAAATTCTAGAATAATTCGTCCTCAAAATATGACCCGCCATATGCATCAGTAAATATTGCCTTGAGACCCACCACAAAGAATTTTATGATGTTACGGAGAAGTGGAACAGATAATAGGCTATGTGAATAGCCTTAATGATACGATAGCCGATATGATTAGTATCAGGAAATAAGTATATGATAAAGAAGTGGTCATATTTAGGTTTCATCTGGTTTTGGATCATATTCTCTTGGTTCATTGTCATCACTTTATGTGCATAAAATTCTTCTCTTCTAAAGAAATTATACAAAAAATTGGATAAATTATTTTATTAAGAAAGAGTTAAGAAATTACAATAGACCAAAACTGGAGAAACAATCAACAACACTGTAGAATATTTTGCTATTGTATTTGGAACAATTAACGGTAATTTCGTAATCGTGTTTCTTAGAATTTAGATTACTTTTCAAGATGTTTAATAAATTCTGGAAAATTTTGATAAAATTTTTAAATAAATATCTGTCAGCTCGTTTGCATCAATTACTACGAAATGTAATAAGTTAAAATTTATTTTGAACTACGAAGTATAAGGTTTATTTTGTGTAACTTTTTTTTATTCACTGTGAATAAA